CTAGTTGGTATCTTCTAGAACTGATCTCTTGCTTGGTGTGTAGGGAAGTATCCCCCATATCTGCCGTCAGAAATGTCTGAGTTGTGAGGGTGCAGTAAGAGAAACAGAGTCTTTTTTTCTCCCATTGCCTCAGATACCAGTCCTTACAACCACAATGTGCTAAAACTTGATCATAACACTGTCAATCAACCACGCGTGGCAGAGTTTCCTTAGAAAATTTCAAACTCTATTCTAACATGGAATACCTAGATAGAGAACATGGTCCTTAGCCTTATAGTTCAACCACTGATCTCTAACCCATCACTCAGACTTGCCTGCCACGCTCAGGCCAGCTTTTGGGATATCTTTGTTAACAGCACTAGAGAGGTGAAAAGGCAAGAGAACTGTCTGCTGGGTGGGTGTGGATGAATTCAGGTGTGAGGATACATCTCATGAAGGCAAGCAGGCAGAGGCCGGGACAGACTAAAGGCAAGTAGGTACTCAGCTTTGGAGGCTCTGGAAACTGGAGAGGGAGTAGAGGCAGAGTAGAGATGTTGCCGTTTGAAAGTTCAGATCTTTCTTTAGCGGTATTTTTATACCGAGCATCGCCTATTTAATTCCTTGTCATACAGCGTAGCAGTGTAGCCATCAAGCTTTGTCATCCCACGACCTCTGCAAACACCAACATGTTCACCTGTGTCTCCTCCAGTCCTCGTGGGTACCATCAAGTGTAGCCTACACTGTACACCTGCTCATCTGCTTCCGTTCTTGCCCTTCCATGATCTGTTCTTTGCACAGTGACCAAAATAGTCTTCCTGGAATGCAAACCGGATCATTTCACTCCCTGTGTAGAATCTTTAATGGTTTCCCATCCTCTCTGGGATCAAGAATAAAATCTGAACTCAGACCTTCTGGGCTGCTCCTTGTGTGAGCAGCCCTCTCACCACCATCTTAGCTGACATGCCGTTTTCTTAAGAAGATCTTCTCTGACCTTCTTGTCCAGAGTCTGTACCATGCCAAATGCTGTTCTAACTCCCAGACTTCCCTTCCTCTTGACTTGTTCACTGTACTTCTCTTCCTCCAGGCAAAACTTCAGAAGCACATTAGCCACCCATAGCCTGGGGTCTCCTGGTCCTTATGATGTGCTCACCAAATGATTGCCTAAGAAAACTCGGTGCCATATATTTTTGCCTTTTTCATCATAGAACAAAGTGTTCTTCAATTTTAGGGAGCATGAATTGGATTGGTTTTATTTTTTTGGCGGGGGGATGTTTGCTATTATTTTATAGAATATGCATGCAATTTGAATAGGACATGAAAAAGAACAAAATGAGGGAAATAATTTTATGAAGTATTTTAATAATCTATTAAATAAATCATTAACACCTTGGATGATAAAAACCAACATACATATAGATATAATATTATATACAAATATTAAGTAATATACACATATTACTTAATATTTTTTGTATGGGGGGATTGAACCCAGGCCACTTAACCATTGAGTCACACCCCCAGTACTTATTTATTTGTTTGTTTATTTTGAAACAACTCACTAAGTGGCTTAGGGCCTCACTAAGTTACTGAGGCTGGCTTTGAACTTTCAACCCTCTTGCTCCTCCTCCCAAGCCGCTGAGATTACAGGCACGTGCCACCACATCCTGGGGAAAACATTTTAATTTTGTAATTTTTAAAGTTTAAAACCAATTATTTTATGTGTATGTGCACTTCATTTTCTTTCCAGGACATGTAATTGACTTCTGCTTTGGGATTTCCACGCATTGGGTTTTTACTCTGTGATCGGCATTGTTTGGCCAGAAGGCAAAGCAAGTTTGCTCTGTGGTTAAAAATTAGGACTGTGAGCCAGAATTCCCTGGGTTTGAAATCTAACTTATTATGCTGTGTTGGAGAAGCAGCATAACACCTTCATGACTTGGTTTCCTCACCTATAAAAGGGTAGATGGGTCGGCGGATGATAACAGCAGCTACTTCACAGGGTTGTGAAAATCTTGGGTAGATCATGTCAGGAGAAGTATTTAGAACATGCCTGACACGTGGGCTGTGAACGATGTTCACTATTCTTATTTACTACTAATAATATACAAAATAGGTATTTTATTATCCCCACTTGTCAAATGAGAAAACTGGCTGCATAAAATAGATTTTTTTCAATAATGTGTTTAAATGAATCCTTTAGATCGGTTTTTTAGACTAAAAAAAAAAACTAAAAAGGAAGACAGAATGAATGTTCTCACATTTTTGAGAGTTGGAACTTGGAAGACATAGGGGCTTGGCAAGATGAAGACAATAAATCAAAGAAACAAAGGAAGTTTCAAAGCAGTTTCAGGCTGGGGACTTGGCCATCCCTCCTGAACGTGAATATAATGGAACTTTGCACATCCGTGGGAAGCCCAGGGTGGGGAGGAGACGCTCTCCACAGAATCTCGAGGGGAGATGGAGCCCCTGTAGTGTGACTTGGAGCAGCAGGAACTAGCATCTCCAGGTTGCAGCAGGAAGCAAGAACAGTGGCTCCTGATGGTTCAAAGCTCCCCAGGATCACTGCCAGTGTCTCCAAGGTATCTCCATGTTCTCAAACCAAATTCATTTGAATTAAAAAATGGATGCCATGTATCCCATGTGAGAGGAAGTGGATACCAAAGAGAATCAAATAAAAAGGTTGTGAGTCACTAGAGGGGACCCTCTTCCTGTCAAAAGTAGAGTCCCATAGTAGACTTTTAGGAAGACATCTGTCAGGGACAGGAATATTCCTGGCACTGGTTTGATACCCCATGCTAAAAACAACCCGGAGGTCTCTTTTCAGTAGAGCAGATATAAAACTTGTGGCACATTCACAGAATGAAACCCTATCCAGCACAGGAGTGAAGGCAGCATGACCACCCTTAAGAACAGGGATGAATCCTGCTGATGCTACGTCGAGGCAAAGAAACCCAAAACTGAAAACCACAAACCCATTCCATTTCTCATGCAACTTCAGAACCAGGTAATGCTCATCTGCATCAGGTGTTAGAAGTTAGGAAGTGTCCCCTGAGGAGACGAAGTGGCACGATGAGCACCAGGGTCTTTGGTCCTGATTCTTTATTGAATCCTGACCAGTCACATCTCTCCATTTTGGGAGCCTAACTGACTCATGTGCGTATTTATTTTTTGGCACTTTTCTGAAAACACGTTACATTTCAACGTTCCCTTCATTTTCCCCCCATCTATACAATCTGGATCAAGTTTGTCCTGGGTTGAACGGATGGCCCTAGAGTTCAGGATCATCACAACTGGAGATGTACAAATTTGGGCGCTTTAGAGATGGGAAACCAATTTGAGCAGAGCTCCTATTTCTGTGGTGTTGGTTCTGAGTGTTCGGGTCACTGCTTGGCCTCACTTTGGTTTTTCTCATGGTGTCCTGATCCAGTCCCATGGGCATGAAGCCCTCTCTCTCCACTCGAATGATCTCTGTAGTATGTCATGCAATTTGGGGCTTACAGATGGGTCCTAGGCAAGGCCACATCCACCCTGCACATTGTAGCCTCTGTCGGCTGCAGAACAGGCGTCCATGCCCCTCACTCTCAGTGGGACCCAGGGATCCAGAGCAGCCAGGAGCTGGCTGGAACTTGGGAAGCCTGATTCAAAATCTCTCCCTCCAAACCGAATGGGAAGGTCTGAGGACCAGTGGACGGCGTGACAAGCCTCAGGGGGCAACTTTTCATATGCCTGGCAGCCCAGAGAAGGAAGGAGAAACCTTTCTGTGGTTCTCACGGGTTGGAGAGCCTGGCACCAGGCAGGGCTGAGGATCCCCTGGCCAGCCCCGTGGGTGTCGCCAGATCTCTGCTGGGTTCTGCTGAGTGAAATCAAAGCCACACAGACTGAATGGACACGCCCCGTCCAGGGGACTCTGGGCGGGTCAGCTGGCTTGGAGACAACAACAGGGCTTCAACGTGACCATCCCCACATTCTGCAGACTTAAAAGGGAAATCCTTTGGATTCTGACTGGACTCCTGGGGCTCAGCCCTGGCCTGGCCCTGAGGCTACAAAGAGAAATAACATGGAAAAGGCTGTATATGGTGATTGGCTCTTCAGGTGATTAGAGGTGGCTTCATTTCTGCAAGGACTCTGTAGCCTGAGCTTCTTTGACCCTCTGGTCCCCTCCTTCCTCTGCTGGCTGATGCCCACCCCCTCCCTATTGCTCCTCACTCCCCACACTCCCATGGACCCACTTCCTAGGGTGAGTTGGACTCTTTAGCCTCAAGACACTCAGAGATTTGCCCCACCACTGAAAGCCCCAGCTCCGACTCCTGCCCTGCTCTGTTCTCTCATGCTCTTCCCTTGCTTTCTTAGATTTTCATTTTCATTTTCCTTCCCATCCTTACAAAGGCAGGATGCAGAGGAAGGCCAGCAGAGGGCAAGAGCCCTAGAGCTGGACCCAGGAGGCCAACGAACTGATCATTTGGGGTTTTACCACTGCTGTGTGTGACTCTGGGAAAAGTGCAGAGGCTGAGGCCCTTGTGCTATTGGCTCTTCTTCTCATCTGTCCACGGTGTGTGGGGCAGGGGTCACCCATGCCAGGAATCTATGCGTCTAGTCGGTGTCAGTGCATGGTGAATGCAAAGAATCACACTCTGCTCTGGAGCTGACAGGTTGTCAAGTAACAATATCATGTTCTCTTTGAAATGTGCACACATCTTCAGATAGACTGATTAATAGGTCCATGTAGATGACAGAGAGAGAGAGAGACAGAGAGAGAGAGAGAGAGAGAAACTCGGAATATATAATCTTACAGACCCTGGTACCCAATAAGAGTCTCACATGGACACTGAATCAGAATCGTCCTCTCCCCCAGCTCATGTAAGTGTCCTCTGCAATCAGGTGTAACTCTCCACCCCATTTTTTCACAATTGAGTAAATGAGGAAGCAGCTCAAGGCTGGTTTTTCTTGTGCTACCACAAAGGTCCATGCTGGTTCCTGTTTGTGGTGACGATGGTCATAACAGATGAATGAAGTCCACACTATACAAATTGGAGCAATTTAAACCAAGCTTAATCCTAAGTGCTCCCTGCACAGGATGCCTGTCCCCTGAACTCACAGGTCCCTTCCTTGCTAAAGGATGTTCCCTCCATTTCCTCTACTCCTTCTAATCAGCTTCTCCATCCTTTTTCAAAAACGGTGGCTAATTTATATAAGGTCTACACTGCTTTGCAATGTTTTGAAAACAAATTAGAAATATCCCTCCAGTTTTCCAGAGGTGATTACATCCAAGAAGCCTTAGGAATGTAAAGAAGAGGACAATATAAACAGCAGCTCCGAGATAACTATGTCCGCAGCACTGTGGTAAGTGACTTCTTTTCCTTTTTCATCCATCAGCAAGATGGAAGCTGGATTTGATCCATTGCATAAAGCTCAGTGACCAGTGCATAAATCTGCTATTTGATCCTGAAAGAACTCTAAGGATCTAGCGTTAGCCGAGGAATTGCAGCAATGCTGGTGTTTCCAAGGGCCTAGGAAAAGCCAAAAGTCCTGGCCGACTGGCCACGAGGTCCTGTCTCCCAGGCTGCAGGTTTGTCTCCGTTAGCACAATGGACCAGGCGTCCCCCCTGCTCAGAGTCGACATGACAGGATTTGTTCCCTTTTGGCTGTGTCAGTTCTGCAAACCAGATATGAGAGGCTGCAAGCTCAGGAGAGCCTGCCTTTCTGGAACACCATTTATTCGGACAGGACAGGCCACTAAGGCGTTTTCGTCTCTTTAAAGCTCCCAGGGCAGAAAGCATATTTGAGGAATTCCTTCTTTCAAAGATTTTTTTTTTTTGCCCCTTCCAACATTTTGTTTAAGAGAAAATGAGATGTCTATCTTCTGTTTCCTTATTTTTTTTCAGGAAAGCAAAGGGTTGTTGACTTCCTCCCTCTCCCCTCCCTTCCTTCCTTCTTCCCGAAGGTACTCATCTGAGAAAAAGAGAACGAAGTATTGTTCCTGTTCTTCTTAAGTCATTTGAAACACTGTCCCTGCGAGTTCTTTAAGTTCCCTGCAATCTGTACACAAGAGAAAGAGGGAGAGAGAGAGGGAGAGAGACAGAGAGAGCCAGGGACCAGGTAAATCGGTGGGGCTGCTGCAGCCATTCTGACCTCAGAAGCTGGTAAGTTACCCACACAATCCTTTCTGCTTCCATTTCAAAGTCCCTGGGATGGAGACGGGCCTGGGCATCTTCCACAGAAAATACCTTCCTGGGTGTAGTCCTTAATCACAGGGTGCGACTGCTAGATGACCCAGAATTTGAGCTTATACTTTTTTTTTTTTTAATAGAATACTGATGCTTTGCGGATCTGAGGCTGGCAGAACTGGAAATAGAATTGCATTGGGGTTAAGGAGGACAGTGTGTGAAATCTGAATTTTGGCACAGATAATGTGGCAAGGTTAACCAGGAGCCACTGGAGTGTGTGATGTGTCCTACTGGAGAATTCACTCCTCCTCAGTGCTGTGCCTGGGAACCTTCTCAGGGAGTCTGTTAAGAACTGTGGTTCGCTCTGGGTTTTTATTACATATTGTCTGGATTGAGTTGCCCTTCTCTTGTACTTTTCTTTCATTCAGCACCCGACACCCTCTCCCCTCCCAAAAAAAGGGGGACTGTTAATTTGTGACTGTTATTCTGCATCACTGAAGTAGAAGGGAAATATAAGAAGGGAATGTCACTTTGGAACAGCAGTTGGAGGGAGGCTTAGGTGTTCAGGTGCCACATGTGGGTTGAATGTAAATTTATTATTATTCACTGTTGATGGAAGATGTCATCTGCCACACAAAAGGAGGCAAAGATTTTGGGGCATGTAGCTTTAGTTTTGGAAAACAGTGTGAGACTAGAATGGGATGATTAAGATTAATCGCTGTGTCAGTAGGAGTGAAAAGCTAAGCCATAGATGCGATTGAAAAACATTCTTTGGTGCCTGGTTTTCCAAGCACCAGATAGAACACAGAAAGCTAATGGAGCTTATGCACACGACCAGTTTCTAAAGACTCACTTGCTTCCATTAAATTCGTCAGAAAGGATAATGTTACCAAGAACTCATTATGGCAAGCCATGAGGGAGCCGAGATCATGCTGTCAAAAATAGGTCAGCAAGGTCATTCCAAAAGACTGTGTGTGTTTACTGATATCAATAATTCAATTCAGAGAGGCGCTAAATGGGTGAGGGACAACAGCCATACATAAATTTTACAATATTAATTTCTATGAAATGTACTGGCAGAAATTTCCTGGGATCTGAAGAGTATAATAAAAATAGCTGGACTCTCATTTTAAAATTAATTTGGCAAGATTATACTTTCCTCACAATTAAGTAATTAATCTTTATGTGAAACTGAGCCATCATCTTAATGAGAAAATACGATGAACCTGGTCTGTTATGTAGGTTTGGTTCCATTAGTAAGACCTCCTTTTTCTTCTATTTTCAAAGAAATTTCCTTAGAATCACCATTAATAAAAGAGGTGTGATTAGTGTTTGCCTGCTTGAGGATGCAAAGCGATTCTAATGGCAGTCGCTGGTGGTTTCCAGCTCTTTGCTACCTACCCCAACACCCTGTCTCATAGGTCTTCAGGTCAAAAAAGTAGCTGGGGCTGGTCATCTTGGGCTTTTTGCATCATTTATCAGCCACTGTGATCCCAGAAGAAAACTCAGGGCTGCTATCTTGACTTGCTTCTTTCAGTTTCATTTCTCCTTGATAATGTTTAATGTTGGACCCAATTAAAACAACTGCACAGGACACTCTCTGGTTTTACTTATGGAGTAAAAGGGTTGGATGCAGCATAAATAAAAGCAGAGTCACTCTGACCAAAGACAAGGAAGGCAAAGGTGGGAAAGGATTATGTTACCAAGAACTCATTATGGCAAGATCCGTCTTGGCCCGTGACTCGAGCCTAACAAGCAGGGAACATGCAATTTTCTTTAAGAGAAAAAATACATATTCAATATTTCAGTGAACATCGTAATGTCATTGCCATGAGAATGTTTATTAGATACGGGGTGTGGAGGGGTGATGGTGGAAAGTTTGGCTACCTGAAGATAGTAGCCACTGACTAGTTTAGGCTCTGCCGCTACCTCTCAAACTACCTTATTCAACTCCAAGGAGTGAATTGGCATTTCTGGAAACTTCCAGAATGACTGTTCTCTGGGGTCATCAGAAGCTCTCTTGTGGCATCATTAGGGGAATTCCAGTTTGGAATGATGCAGAATTTGACTCACACAAGATTTTGTTAATTAATTTTTGCCAAAAGTGTCCACATAGCTAGTTATCATTTGTCATACTTTTTTTTTTCTCAAGGTACTGGGCACTGAACCCAGGGCCTAGTGCATGCTCAGCACACACTCTACCACTTATCTATACCCCCAGCCCCAATATATAGTTTAAATCATGTGAGCATATATGTCCTGCAGCTCTGGGTGCTGGTACTTAAATCAGAGCCAACAGAACATCAAAAGCACTTTGGTTTCTGTTGTATGCAAATTTGGGGTTGAATTCCAACTTGGTGACTTACTGATCATGAGCCTTAGGTGGGGTCCTTACCCTAAGTCTCAGTATCCCCAAACATAAAACTGCATCAACATAACTGAGTTGTTCTGATGATTAAATATGATTATTAATATAAAGCAGTTAACACAATGCTTGGGAAGTACTAAGAGTCAACCAATATTAGCTGTGATTTTTCAAGAGCCATTTGTTAACATTGAAGAGTCCTGTATTTTTACAAATAGAAGGAATAGAATTCAATCTTCTGTAATCTGGATTATTATTCTTGTTCAATGCTGTGCCAAGCGTCTTTCAGAACAAAGCTTTTTCCCTCTAGCTATTCAGTTGGGCACACATTGACACATTCTGGATTCCAAATTCTTATAAAAGAAGGTGGGGTTTAATGTGCTGATATTCATCTCTGATTCCGGCAGAAGCACCCACTTTGGCCTCACTGTAGGTCAGCTGTAGCTGATGGAGCTCAGAGCAGGGAACGTTTTCTCTGGGACCCAAGTTTTCAACTTAGAGGAATGTGCAGTAGACATGACACGGCAGTCTCCTCTTACCCACTTCCCCAAGCTCCCAAGCTCTGTGTTGATGGTGACCTTTTCCCTGGCTGCAGAGGACTGCAGACACTTATTTTGGACTTCATGGTGGCTGTGCCATGACTCAGCTAGAGAGAAAAGCCCTGGAAGTGACACATTCTCCCCCAACCCAGGGCTGAGTACACTCGGAGTTCCCTGTCCTCAAACATTCCAGCAGCAACCTACTCACCTTCACACCAGTCAAGAGGACACCCTGTCACATGTGTGTGTGTGTGTATGTGTGTGTGTGTAGGGGGGCGTGTTGGATCCAACAACAATTTTTTTCTCACTCTGAACTTCAAAACCTACATGCATGTTATTTCATCAAATAATAATGATACTCTTTTTAGGTCTTAAATTTCCTTTCCCTTTTCAAAAGCAAAACACACAACAGCAAAAATGACTGAACATCTACCACCATCAGCCCAGAAATTTGAGTTTCTTGTGTTAGAATAAAAGGCTCAGATACAAGAGGGACTTGTCTGAACACTCACCTTAGGGGAACAAATTGAAGCTGATTTCTTCTGCACTAATGTACAAAAGGCACTTCTAATGCGGCAGGATGCAGTAGATCAAAGAGCAGATTATCACTCTTGTTCTCAGCCCACCTCTGCCTCTCACTGTATGGTGACTTGCCAGGTTTCTTCATTTCCTTGGACTCTCATTTTCTTCTCTGTGCAATGTTGGAGAGGGACTCAATCAGTGACCTGTGTGTGAGTGTGTAGCAGAATTCACCTGGGCCTTGTTTACACTCCTCCTGCCATGCTCACTGCCCCGCAAGATCTACCAGATTCTGCTGCTGATATCCTGAGGGTGGTCTCTAGCTCTGCCTTCTTCAGGATGGCACCGATGCTAACTCTACATTGATGTTTTGAGAGCCATGCTTTTAAATGAAATGTATGTTACGCACTAAATGTTCTCTTTAGAAGTTAGTTTTGAAGGTAGCATTATTTGAAGGTAATGTTATTCTAGAAGCTTTTAGTATTATGGAATCAGAAATGTCCCAGCCAGTTAAGCAATCTGATGATACTGATCAATGTACAATAAGTGTGTATAATCAATTCTCTATTTCTCTATACCCTTGGCCCCAGGGATTTAATCAACCACAGACTGGGGGAAAATGCCTTTCTACTGAATACATACAGGCTTTTTTTTTTTCATTGCCATTATTCCCTAAACATTATAGTTTAACAACTATTTACAAAACAGTTACATTGTATTAGGTATCACAAATTATCTATAGGTGATTTTAAGTATCTGGGAGTGTGTGTGTGTAGGTTATATGCAAATACTAATCCATGGATTTGGGTATCTGTAGGAATCCTGGAGCTCATCCCTCATCCACACCAAGGGGCAACTGTATAGACCATGAAAAAATCAGTTATTTGGAACTATGAATATTATAATTCTGTATAAACAGAATTTTTAATTTATGTATTTCCCTATTATTTGCATCTTACATATAGTGACATATATTTTTCTTTATCAAGAAAAACACAAATATTAAATATTTTCTATTTTCTTTCTTAGAACACTAGTAGATTTGATCTTGTAAGGTTTTGCTTTTTAAACATCTTATCATGTGTGCTGTGTTCAGCCTGTCTTAGAAGTTATATCCTTCTCCCTAAGTTAATAGTGATGTGGAAAGGCCAAAGAATTGATAGTGGTTTTGAAAAATCAGCACTCAATAGTCATGTTAAATTGGCAGTGGTTTTGAAAAATCAGCACTCAATAGTCATGTTAAATTGGCTTTAATTATAAGAAAAATATGTAGCTTATCAAAAAAGTTGTTCTGATTTTCCTGATCTTACTTAATTTTTTCCCTCATATGTCTGGATGGTTAATGAAACAGAGTAGCAGTGAACACAGTCTCCATCTGACAGGCTCATGGAGACCACTAACACTGACATGTACCCTCAGAAATGACTCTTCTTCCTATTCAAATACCAAATCCATTGACATAAAACAACGGTATTTAGATAAAAGAATAAAACTATCTCCTCATCAGGTGGGCGTATAAGTAGAAAGTAAGCACCACAAAGACAGGAACTTTGTTCTGTCCACTGCTGTATGTGCAGGGCCCAGAATAGTTCATAGCATATAACAGATGCACAATAAATATCTGTTGAATAGATGAATGAATGAATTAAATGGACTGTTGAGTGACATGTGCTATCTTTATATCATACAAAATGAAGCAGCGTAAAAAAAAAAAAGTTTGTTAAGTGTTTTTGGGGTCTGGACAATGCCAAACTTCCAGCTTGACAGATGTATGCCTAACCTGAATTGACTGAAATCTTATGGGTTTGTTCTATCATTTTGTGCATGCAGCTGCTATGAGTCTATTAAAAATAAACTCATCCTGGCAAGGACCCTCACCACCCCCATTCATGGGAGATAAACATTTATCAGATAGGTACACTGAAAGACTGTTAGTTGCATTTTATTTCCATGTGTTTTCTAGGCAGATGACTGGTTAGCAAATTGTTTTTGGTCAGACAGAGAAAATGATCATTTGTCTTTCCTTGACTGAAAGAGCTGTGAGCCAGCATTCAGCCTTGAGAATGCGCAGCACTCTGGTTTACTGTGGGCAAAGCTGTAAATCCAAGTTAAAGGGATGTCACTAGGGGTGAGTTTGCAAAACACCACGGGGTGAATTTGGGGACAGAAATGTGATATCCTCGTTGAGGACAATACTATTTTCTTTTATGTAATTAAAGGCAATGAAGATTGCCAAAATACTGGATTGAGGCAGTTTTACATTTATTTGGCAAATTTAAAGTGGTAAATAGAAAGGTTTAATAACAAATTGGGATGATGCTAACAATTTTGGATGATACTGCTACATTTAACACCATTGGGGTCCAAGGGTTCTGCAATTTATAGTAGTAACTGAAAAAGCTTTCTCTATTTACATTGATGAAGCCGATCTCTTTAGTGTTGAGTACAGGAGACACAAAGTCAATTCTGTCCCTTTCTCCCATCTCCCTGATACATATGACCCCATTTTGACCTCATTCTCTGTGGCCACTGATACCAAGTACTAATTAATATAACTAACAGCAGCTCTAACACCAAAGACCCCTTGGGGAGGAGTCATTACCAGGTTTGGGGCCTCCAAAGATGCATCATTTCACTGAACCCTCCCATTCTAAGAAGTAGGTGCTTTATTCTTCTCATCTTAGAGAAAGGCAAAAACATATTTTTTTTTAGACAAATAATCTAGAGGAAGTGATTTGCTTCACTAAATCAATGTTGCGCTTTTCAGATTTTGCATGAAGGAGGAAAGGTTAACGGTAGCTCATCATTGTTTAAAAGTTAAATATCCCCTCGGGCAGTACCCTTCAAATGTCGTCCAGGGACCAGCAGTGTGGCATCATCTAGAAGTCTGTTAGAAAGGCAGATCTGTAGGCTCTACCCCCAGACCTACTGAATCAGAAACTGCATTTTAACAAGACCTCCCAATGACTCAGTTGCACGGTCAAGTGTGACTAGCACTGACTTGAGGGTTTTGATCTGTTGAATGCACATTGATCTTGGAATGTGTATCCTTCTTCCAGAGTTACAAAGCCATTTCTTAGTATTGACCATGACCAAGATGGCGGAACTCTCTGTTAGATAGTGGCATTACTGAACGAGGGCTCTTTTCCTTTCCCTTCCAAGCAGCATTGAGCATGCTGATTGTGGTATCACCCAGCAAGTTAACTCCTTTCCAAAAGGTTCCACTCTCGGGTAAGGTCAGAGTTTTGATTTTCAAGCCTATTCAGAGCATGGGTCATCAAAGTCACCTGGGGAGGATTCCTAGGCCCTTCCCTAGATTGAAGGAGTCTGGATGGGAACCAAGGCTCTGCCCATTACCCAAGGCACTGGCTCAGGGTAGGGAAATCTCCAGGGAGGGCAGTGATGTGTATTTGGGAGAATTACCCTAAAAAGAGTTTAGCTTTTTTCAGCAGCTTGGAAAAAAAAAAAAAGCACACATAAAAACATAATTAGAGAGTGTGGGAGAGAGCGCATTGTAGTTTTCCAGGAAGAATGGGTACCCGGCCAGCTTCGTCCTTGAATGTTCCAGAATGGGGGCAAGAAATCCTGCCGTGCTCCTTTGGGTTGTGGGAGGGGAGAGGGACCCTGTCCTCCAGCATCCCAGCCAAGGAGGAGATGCCAGTATGCTCACCTCACTCTTCCCACTTAGAAAACTCTGCGGAAAGAATCCTTAGAGTTTCCTTTGCTCTGGGGACTCACCGTTCTCTTTTGGAACAGAAATCAAGAGGGGACTATTGTTGGAGGGGTGGGGAGAGGAAACAGGGCAGGAAGGGAGCAAGGGAGAGGACCGGAATAGCTTCTGGTGCTGCAGCCGGGAAGAAACAGGGCCTCTGCCTGGATGGAGATGGTGACTTCTCCCCCTTAACTGAGACCCTCTGGCCTCCTTCCACGGGAAGTGCAGAGAGACTTCAGGGTTTCAAGGCTGCTCTGTGGCACAGCTGCCACTCCAGGGCCCACTGTGCTGTCTCTCACTGGCCCGTCTTCTCCTTCAGACAGTTTCCTCCCTATAGCAGAGTGGAGCCTCCTTCCCCTCACCCCCAGCTCCCACAGAACTTCCTCAGTTCACACAACAAGCACAAGAAGAGGTCCTCCAGCATTATCCTAAGAAATGTAGACACAGAGCACTTTGCAATAAGGATCACTATACTTAATCCATCAGGATGAGGTCCTGAGATGTTAGAAACCGACTTCGTAGGATGAGGAACACACACAAGTGCAAAGAGGTTACTAACAGGTCTATCCAGAATCTCATCTCTTACCTAGCTCTGCAGGGAGCTGGGCACAGAGGGACTGCTCTGTGCACCATCTTTATGACACCCAGCAATGCAGCAGGAACATGGGATTCTCCTCCAACAGCTCTCCAGGCACACCACCGATGTCACAGCATAATCCCTCATCTCTGGTGGGGTCCAGGTCTCCAGGGACTTGTCTCCTGGCTGCAACCTGGATCTGAACAGGGATGTTGGAGAAGAAGCAGAGAGCCTAGTTTTAGGGAAAGAAGGTACAGTCAACCATTTTGAAGAAGGCAATCCCATTTCTGTGTGTCTTTACCCCTCCATCTACTCAGACATATCCTACTATTTAACCTGACTTACACTGGCTCCTTGGTGCCCCTTCTGAGTGTCCTAGGAGAGGAATTTTGACATCACATCTTTAATACATGCAGTTGGGAAGGTCATTTAATGATGAGTAAATCCCATCCCAGTTTTGGACATAAAGTGCCAAATATATTTGCTCTTGAACCAATATAGGTTTCTTATGGGGGGTGGTGTTTTGCTTAATAAAGAGCTATCTCTTATGTACATGCCTCAAATGCTTTACACACATACATATAAACACAGAGTTTACCTCAAATTGTTGAACCTTATGGAACATTAAGAGCCAAGGAATGAGCCCTAAATTGTTCATTTGGAGCAAGAATGTAGCATCTGATCTTCAGTTCCCTTTACTTCCAAATACATTTACTGTCTTTGTATATTTTTGAAAATGATGTTACAAAGAGTTTGGTTTTTGTTAGCTAGTGGCATCAGGAAGAAGATAAGAAAAGTCTTAAGTACTATTGCAAGTAATTCATAAAGTTCTTCTTCCACTTCCTGTGTGTCATTTTGAGAATGTAAGCAATGCAAGAGAAAGAGCTAAACCTGGAGTCAGAGAATAAAGGTTGAAGTGTGCTCACTGACACATGAATAGATGGTCAATCAGCGAACCCAAATGCAGATGGGAATTTAGTGTATGATAAAAATAGCATTGGATATCAGAGGGGAAGTCGAATTGTGTAATTAATGATGTTGAGACAACTAAGTAGCTATTTAGGAAAAAAACAAACATATTGCTACTTTATTTCCTAAAATAAATTCCACATAGGTCAAAGCCTTAAAATGTTAGAAATGCAAACTTACTGTGATCCCAAATTGCACTAAAAATTCTTTTTAAAAATGACGGCATAAAAATACTAGAAAAACTGAGAGATTTGCTCTTTGAATCTCAGAGTAGGGAAGGTCTTTGCTAGTTTTACTTGAAAGTCTTAGCATTTATCATACATTAAAACAAAAACTCCTTCAGGTCTAACTCAGTGAATAAGATCAAGACAAAAAAGTAGGGAAAACATTTTTGAAAGTGCATCACAAAAAGCCTAATGTAAACAGAAACACAGGAAAGTGACCCGAAACACAGATTTCACACAAAATGGAACATAGCTGGCTTTTAAACGTGAAAAATAGAAGATACTCATCCTCATTTATAATAATAAAATGCAAACTAAAACTCTGAGATTGCCAAATTTTACCTGCTTGACTAGCAAAGATGAAACCTTTTGCCAGGCACAGTGGCACAGCCTGTAATCCCAGCAGGTCAGAAGTCTGAGGCAGGAGGATAGCATGTTCAAAGCCAGCCTCAGCAACTTAGTGAGGCCCCAGGCAATTCTGCAAGACCCTGTTTCTAAATAAAATATAAAAAAGGGCTGGGGATGTGGCTCAGTGGTTAAGAGCCCTGGTACCAAAAAAAAAAAAAAAGAAAGAAAGAAAAGAAAAGTTAAAAAAAAACCTTTCTGAGCACACATGCTTCTGGGATTCTGGAGAGTACTCTCAGATATTTCTGGTGTAATTGAAATTTAGGAAAACTTCTACAGAGGCCAATTTGTAAATGTCTATCAAAATGAAAAACTGAGTAGAATTTATCCTACAAATACACTTAGGAGATGTGAAAAGACATACCCACGCTGCAATATATTTGCCATAGCATTATTTAAAACAGAAAAAAGAGATATTAGCACAATTTTCTGAGTAATAGAAGGGCTAAATTAAGTACAGTACATTTGTACAATGGAATATTAGTCAATCCTTAAAAAGGAGGAAAGAGAATATAAATGGATTCCAAGATATATGATTGATTTGACAAAGATGAAGGTAATGCAAAGAGATATGGATAGTCTTTTCAGTGAATGATACTAGAACAACTCAAGTCTATATGAAAAAAAAAGGAAACTGACTCTTATCTCACACTATACACACATATGAACTTGAAGTAGATCATGGGCCTACATAGAAGAATTAGATAAAACTATCAAATTTCTAAAAGGAAACATAGGAGATTAGGCAAATAGCTCTTAGTTAAAACATGAAATGCACAAGTAACAAATGAAGAAATTGATAAAGTAGACTTCATCAAACTTAAAATCTTTTTCCCCTCAAGTAAAGTTAACATTTTAAAAATGGGAAGACAAGCCACAAATTAGGAGGAAATATATTCCATATATTTATTTGGTAAAGATTGGTTTATAGACTATTTAAATAATTATTTAAATTTGCTAATAATAAGACAAATTAAAAAGAAGCAAAAGTTTGAATACTTAAAAAAAAGATATTCCAAAATTAGATTTGAGTGATGGTTGAACAACTGTATAAATTTTTCTAGAACTCATCATACTGCATATTTTAAAGTACTTGAATTCTGTATTATGTAAATTAATTCATAACATGGGGGTGTGAAGAATAAGGCAGCTCTATATGTTCTGAGAATGGAGCAATCACCAACCTGTATAGTTCAGTATTGAAAAAAATAAGATGCTTCCATTGTATGAAATGCTATCATTTTCCAAAAGTCTATTTGCTATGTATAGAACGTCTCTGGAAGGATACAATAGGTTTGCCAATAGAATCTTTCTTTAGATGGGGGGATGAGATGGATGGAAGACATGGGTATAAGGGGAAAACTTAACTACCTATCCTTTTTGTGTTCCCAATGAGAGAGAGAGAGAGAGAGAGAGAGAGAGAGAGAGAGAGAGAGATTGATTTTCAAATATACCAGTGCTATGACCATGGGCAAATACCTGAGCCTGTTTTCTCACCTGAAAAATGAAGGGATCAGTTGACCACTAAGGATACTTCTGATTTTTAAATCCTGTAATCTGAAAACAACAGCCCTTATTATGTTCACTTTAGAGATGAGAAAACAGAGGTTCAGAAAGGGCACACCAGCAGAAGTCACACAGCTGCTTGGATCTTTGGGGGAATATGGAGTTACCACAAAGAGTTTGTATGAAAATGTCAACACCTCCTATTGGAAAACTGACCAAATAATATTTTAGAGGGATATGTACCTCTGTTTTTCAAATTTGGTTATGTTGTGGATGGTTAATTAACTAGAAATTAAAGATGTTACTAAATTCAAAATAGCTTTGATTTTTTTTGGTATTTTTCTAACTTATTAGGGATTTGCAAAATGAGTTTATTTTTCAAAATTTTGTGCTGAGAAGTTTGGGATACACTTCTGGGACAAAAGTTGGATTTCACTAACAAATTTTAAGGGGATATGATAAAGTATGTGAAGTGTATGGAAATATTTATCATTGTTGTTAATTTCTTCCTTCATCTGATAACTGTCTGTAAAAAAACTCCTGGTTTCTTCCTTTATTATGTATATGACCTTGAGCAGTTTGCTTAACCTGTTTGTGTTCTTGTTTCCGCATTGACAAAATGTGGCAAAGAATAGCACCTATCTCACAGGGTGCTGTGACAGTCACACAATGCGATGTCTCCAACACATTCTTGTTGCATAGAAAATACTCGGCAAATCATGCTGTTCTTGCCACTGTTTTTGATGCATAGACGATGCTCAATAAACATTTTGGGATTGAATTGGTAAGAGAACATGTGAAGGAGGAATAAAGGGCCATCTAGCAATGCAATTCATTTGCATATCCTTGGTCACAGGCAGTTAGGACAGTGGGTTTTATGCAGATACAATGTTGGGGGTATTTGCCTAGGTGATTGCAAGTTAGAGGAATAATGATATTTCTGGGTCTTTGGCCCAGCAGACTTTCCAAGTCTATCACCTGTGCGTGTTAGATGCATTAAAACATGCATTTAGGGACCAGCAGGAAGATTTGGCCTTAGAGCCAACGTGAGGTCCAGGCTTCATTCCTCATTACCAACCGTAAGAGGAAACAAGCCCATTAGCCCCTGAAGGAGAGAAGCAATGCTCTCTTGCCACAAACCAAAATGCTGAGGACCACAGTTATCAGAGGGTCAAAGGAAGTTAGAATGACCTTTCATAGCAACTTAAAATTTAAGCCAGTTTAAAATTTCACTTCCAGCTCATCCCGTGGACATTTAGATTTGTTACATCAACAGCCTTCTAGTCTAATAGAAACAGTTATTTTTGGTCTTTTGGTGTTTGCAAGTGAGACTTCTTAAATGACTAATTAAATTTGTTTTTAAATGGATCCAATAAAAATAAAAATGGTACATATTAATGGAATGCCATGAGACTTGAGGTTTTGCATATAAGAGAAAAGAACCTATTGCTAGACTTTGAAAGGTGGGATGCCCTGAGTTTTAGCACAGACTGACATAATTCTTTTTTGTTTGTTTATTTGTTTTTTGTTTTACATTAAATTTTATTTTGGATTATCTATTACAATTTTGAATAATGCATATGTGCAGTAGTTGTCTCATAATGAATTATAACATTTTCTATTAATAATAATATCGAAATCTATTTCCTACAAAAAACAAAATAACTGTGACTTAGTTATTTCTTAAGGCAAATAGGCCAATGAAGAAATCATCAGCTTCTCAGAACTGACTGCTTTTTCTGAGACCAGCAGTAATAATAGTGGCAGCTACTGCTCCTTGGAGGTCCATGTGGGGAGGTTCTGTGCTACCATATCAGACACTAAAGTTGTTAAGATCTAGTCTGAGCCTTCCAGAAGTTTCCAGAAAAATTAAAGTTCCTATGGAATAGTGAGGAATATATTTCCCGGTCATCTCCATCCACTGGCCCTGTTTCTGCCCACTGGGATCACATGGAATGAACCCAGTTGATCTAAGTGTCAACTCTTTGAAGTATTTAAACATAAGCCACCAAGCCCCCAAGCCTCTATCAGGCCTCCCTCTGAACATACCAGGTGACTTCAGCCATCTCAACAAGGTGGGGCTTTAGTCTCTTGG